TGGCTGCGTCGGGTCAGGTGGCTGCGTCGGGTCAGGTACTTGCTGCTGCGTCCCGGTCAGGTCCTGAGTCTGCCCCCTGTTCTTGTCGCCTCCTGTCTCACGAGACTCTCCTGTGGCACCACCGTCTTGGCCACCCCTCCTTGCCCCGTCTTCGGAGCATGGCTTCCCGTGTCCTTGTCTCTGGTCTTCCCCAGTCTCTCCCTCCTCTCCCCTCCGGGCCAGGACCTTCCTGTGTCCCCTGTGTCGAGGGTCGCCTCCGGGCTACTCCTCACTCCTCCCACTTCCCCCCGACAGAGGCTCCCCTGCAGACGCTTCACATGGATGTGTGGGGCCCAGCCCCCGTCCGTGGGCAGGGTTACGAGAACTACTTCCTGTTGGTGGTTGACGACTACTCGCGTTACACCACAGTCCTCCCCTTGCGCAGCAAGGGTGCGGTCACTGAGGTGCTGATCGACTGGATCCGCGAGGCTCGTCTCCAGCTCAGGAAGAGCTTCGGCTCGGACTTTCCTGTTCTGCGTCTGCACTCTGACAGAGGCGGAGAGTTCTCTTCTCGCCTTCTGCGAGACTACTGTCGTGCACGGGGGATCCGCCAGACCTTCACGCTTCCGGACTCACCACAGCAAAATGGGATTGCTGAGCGCCGCATTGGCATGGTCATGGATGTCGCTCGTACGTCCATGATGCATGCGGCTGCCCCCCATTTTCTGTGGCCGTTTGCGGTGAGGTACGCGGCGCATCAGCTCAACCTTCACCCCCGGGTCTCTCGGCCAGCGATGTCCCCAGCCTTGCTGTGGACGGGGAAGGTTGGCGATGCGTCTGTGTTCCGTGTCTTGGGATCTCGGGCGTTTGTCCGCGACTTGTCTGCGGACAAGCTGTCCCCTCGTGCTGCTCCCTGTGTCTTCCTTGGCTTCCCCACTGACGCCCCAGGGTGGCAAGTTTTACCACCCCTCCTCTCGTCGTGTTCTGTCCTCCCAGGACGTCACGTTCGACGAGTCAGTCCCCTTCTACCGTCTCTTCCCCTACCGCACTCCTTCCCTCCCCCCTCCCCCGGACTTCCTTGTGCCGGTTCCCCCCCCGGTAGACCCCCTCCCCCCTCAGGTTCCTGCCCCCTCAGGTGTGTCCCAGGTAGACGCCGTTGACCCGGTCGAGGTTACTGGTGACTCTGGTGCTGCTGCGGGTGCTGAGCCTGGGGGTGCTGACTCTGGGGGTGCTGTGCGCGGGGGTGCTGAGCCTGGGGGTGCTACTGCTGGGTGTGCTGGGCCTGAGGGTGCTACTGCGGAGGGTGCGGAGCCTGGGGGTGCTGAGCCGGGGGGTGCTGTGCCTGGAGGTGCTGGGTCTGGGGGTGCTGGGTCGGGAGCTGCTGAGCCTGGGGGTGCTGAGCTGGGAGCTGCTAAGCCTGGGGGTGCTGCGTCTGGAGCTGCTGAGCCTGGGGTTTCTCCTGCTGCTGCGTCTCGCCGGGAGCCCCTCTCTCCACAGGAGCTGCGCGAGTGGTTCGCTCGCCGCTGGAGGCGTGCTGCTGAGTCTGGAGGTGCTGCTGGAGCTGGAGCTGGAGCTTCTTCGACCGTCGTGGGTGCGGGTGCAGCCGGTCCCGGAGCTGCTGGCCCTGCAGGTCCTCCTGGAGCTGGAGCTGCTGAGGGCGTTCGTGCTGAGCCTGCTGCTGTTGGTCCTGCCGCTGGAGGTGTGGGTGGCGCTGGTACTGTCGCTGAGGGTGCTGGTGCTGTCCCTGCAGAGTCTGGAGCTGCCGCGCGGCCTTGGCCGTACTTCGTTCCGCTCCTTCAGCAGGTTCTTGGTCTTTCTCCTCCAGTAGAGGGTCCACCGCCTGTCCAGTCGCAGCCCCTACTGGAGCCTTCCTCTCCACTGCCTGCTCCCTCTCCTTACACTGGTCCTACTGGAGGTCTTGCTGAGCGTCGTGAGCCTGCGTCTCGTCCCGCGTCGCCTGTTCGTGCTGCTCGCGCTAGTGGTCGCAGTTCGCGTCAGCGTCCTCCTCCTGTCCCTGGCACGCACCGGATATCTTTACGTCCGTCCACTGCTCCTCTGCGTGCCCCTTTGCCTTCTCCTCCTGAGTCCTCTCTTCCTGCGCTTGCGGACCCTGAGTCGGACTCTCTTCGTGCTGCCAGTCCCACTGTCACGCGTCTGCTTGCTACTGTCGTCACTGACCCCTCTTTTGAGTCCACTGCTGCGTCTGCTCTAGTCGCTGAGCTCGTCGACTTTGCTGCTCGCTGTCGTCTCGACTACGCTGCTAGTCTTGTTGCTGATTCTGCGTCTGTCTGTCCTCCGTCCGTCGGGGGTGAGTGTGCTCTTGGCACGGACGTCCTAGAGGACAGGCAGGAGGAGTTACAGTGTCTAGCGGCTGCTTCACCTCATCTCGCGTCTGTACTGCTTGCCCCTGAGGGAGACCCGGATGCACTAGACATCCCGACTCCGCGTTCTTACGCGGAGGCCGTAGAGGGTCCCTACTCCTCTCAGTGGCAGGCAGCTATGGATGCAGAGATGGCTTCCTGGAAGTCCACAGGCACCTACGTTGACGCGGTTCCCCCTCCTGGGGCGAACATCGTCAGTGGCATGTGGATCTTCAGGGTGAAGCGGCCGCCGGGCTCTCCACCTGTCTTCAAGGCACGGTACGTTGCTCGTGGCTTCAGTCAGCGGCAGGGAGTTGACTACTTTCAGACCTTCTCTCCCACCCCGAAGATGACTACTCTTCGGGTGCTGCTGCACATAGCCGCTCAGCGCGACTACGAGCTTCACTCTCTCGACTTCAGCACTGCGTTCTTGCAGGGTAGCCTGCACGAGGAGATCTGGCTTCGCCGTCCACCTGGCTTCACTGGGACTTTCCCTCCTGGCACCTAGTGGAGCCTCCGACGGCCAGTCTACGGTCTCCGCCAGGCACCGCGTGAGTGGCACGACACACTGAGGACTACGCTTGCGGCTCTTGGGTTTGCTCCTTCTACTGCTGACCCGTCGCTGTTTCTTCGCACCGACACTTCCCTGCCGCCGTTCTACATCCTCGTGTACGTCGACGACCTGGTCTTTGCCACATCGGACACTGCTGGACTCGCCTACGTGAAGTCCGAGCTGTTGAAGAGACACACGTGCACAGACCTGGGTGAACTGCGCAGCTACCTTGGCTTGCAGATCACTCGGGACAGAGCACGCCGCACCATTACCTTGACTCAGTCACACATGGTGCAGCAGGTCCTTCAGCGCTTCGGCTTCACGTACTCCTCGCCTCAGGCCACTCCTCTGCCTACTCGCCACTCACTCTCAGCTCTGCCTTCGGATGAGTCCGTAGAGTCGAGTGGTCCGTATGCGGAGCTTGTTGGCTGCCTCATGTACCTGATGACCTGCACACGACCTGACCTTGCATACCCTCTGAGCATTCTTGCACGCTATGTTGCTCCTGGGAGACACAGACCGGAGCACATGGCTGCAGCGAAGAGGGTATTGCGCTACCTGTGCAGTACGTCAGGCATGGGGCTAGTGCTTGGAGGGCGGAGTCCAGTGGTCCTTACCGGCCACGCGGACGCTTCTTGGGCTGACGACCAGGCTACGCAGCGGTCGTCACAGGGTTACACCTTCAGCCTTGGTTCCGGCTCTGTCTCGTGGCGGTCTACTCGCTCGTCTTCGGTTCTCGGCTCCAGTTGTGAGGCTGAGATCTACGCCGGGGCCATGGCTGCACAGGAGCTTCGGCTGGCTCACCTACCTGCTGACTGACCTTGGAGAGCCGCCTCGTTCTCCTCCAGTGCTGTACGTAGACAACAAGGCTATGCTGGCCTTGTGTCGAGAGCAGCGCTTGGAGCACAGAACGAAGCACATTGCTCTCCGCTACTTCCTTGCTCGTGAGCTGCAGCAGCGTGGTCAGTTGCGACTTGCGTACGTGGCCTCTGAGGCCAACACTGCTGATGTGTTCACCAAGGCACTTGCGCCTTGTGACCATCAGCGCTTCTGCACCCAGCTGGGTCTTGTGCCTGTCTTGCCTCACTTGCTCTCCTCTTGACTTCACTTGTACTGTGACATATATATATACCTGCTCTTGCTTGTCTAGCTTTATATATATGTCTGTACTCTTGCTCGTGAACTGGCCTCTGGCCTTGCTCTTGTGCTCGGACTGTGTGGTGACTTTGTGATCCACCCTGAGCTTTGCTTTGTCTTGCTTGACTGGTCTTGTGACCCCTTGTTCTCCCCCACTTTGCCTATGGGGGTGTGTCAGAACATATCTATAGCTTATACTGCTGTGTAGGCTGTAGTGGGGTATCCCATAGGGGGTACAACCCAGTTAGGGTTTCATATTTGTACTGCTTTCATTCATAGTTCATTCATTCCTGTTTTCCTATTTTCACAGGCTGTTGTGTCAAACTTATATTCTATAGTCTGTGTAGGCTGTAGTGGGGTAGACCATATGGGGTACAATATTTCTAGGTTTTCCTACTTGTACCCACCTCTTTCCTAGTTTATTCATTCCTCATTCTTCACATGGTATAGAGCAGGTTCCCTCGTGGGAACGCTTCTCAGGGCCCACCACAGAACTCGACTTTTTTTTCCTGCCCGAGGCGCGCCCCGTAGGCCGCCCTCACGTCGCGCCCTCCTAGAGGCCCCTCTCACGGCCCCTCGCGCCACCCTTAGCGGCCCCGTCGCCACCCCTTACGGCCCCTTCGCGGCCCCGTCGCCACCCTTAGCGGCCCCGTTGCCACCCTTAGCGGCCCCGTCGCCACCCCTTGCCGCCCCTCTAGGCCCCTCACGGCCCCTTCGCGGCCCCGTCACCGCCCCTAGCGGTCCCGTCGCCGCCCTTAGCGGTCCCGTCGCCGCCCCTAGTGGTCCCGTTGCCGCTCTTCGCGGCGCCGCTCTTCGCGGCCCCGTCGCCGCCTCTAGCGGCCCCGTCGCCCTTCGCGGCCCCGTCGCCACCTCTACCGGCCCCGTCGCCGCCCTTCACGGCCCCTTTACCGCTGAGCCGCCCAGCAGGCGAGCTGCCCAGCACCCGAGCCACCGAGCCGCCGAGCCACCCAATGGCCGAGCCGCCGAGCCGCCCAGCAGCTGAGCCGCCGAGCCGCCAAGCAGCCGAGCCACCGAGCCGCCCAGCAGCCAAGCCGCCGAGCCGTCGAGCCGCCCAGCAGCCGAGCCGCCGAGCCGCCAAGCCGCCCAACCGCCGAGCCACCAAGCCGCTGCCGTCGAGCCGCTACTGTCACTGCCAAGCCGCTGCCACCGCGCTTACAGCCCTGTTCCTACCGGCGTGCCCCGGCCCTACCCACTCGGACTGGTGAGAGCACTCCCTGCTAGACCACTGCTGTCATGGCTACCCCCAGTGTCCTTACCTTTGATGCTGAGGGTCGTGATGTTGACTTTAAATTTGGGTCGATGACCTCCAGCTTTTCCTACAGTGCGATAGGGCAGACGGACTCTCCCTGTTTGATCTCACCTCTGGTGCCTCTCCTGCCCCGCCTACTGATGCTGACAGCACTGTTCGCTCACAATGGGCCACACCCGATGCTGCTGCCCGTCTTGCTGTGCGTCGCCACTAACCGACCGCTGAGCATGCGCACTTTAGTCAGTACAAGAGTGCTAAGACCTTGTACGACGCTGTGGTTGCACGCTACTCTTCCCCTGCCACTGCTGCTCTTAGCCGCCTCATGTTGCCGTACCTTTCCCCTGACCTTGCTGCCTTTCCCACAGTCGCTGACCTCATTACGCACCTTTCGCACTAGTGACACTCGCTACCGCGCTGCGCTTCTTGCTGAGTTCTATGCCAAGAACCCCCCCCCCAATGTACATCAGCCTCTACTACATAGTCACCCGGCTCCCTGACTCCCTTCGCTTAGTCAGGGACCACTTCCTCTCAGTTGGCCCCACCACACTCACCGTTGACCTCCTTGAGGAGCGCCTCCTGGCAGCAGAGAAGAGCATAGTCCCTTTAGGAGCCTCTCGTGGTGACCCTCGTACCCCCGTCTTTGAGGGGTGTTCCCCCTCCCCCCTCTTGCCCTCTGTTGCTTCTGCTGCTGCGGCCGACCTTGTTGGCTTCGAGTCGGTCGACGCTGCGTCTGCCCCTAGTGGGAGACGCCGCATCGGCAAGGGCAAGGGGGGCAAGGGCGCATGGAGGGGCTGGCGGGGGCAGTGGAGGTGGCGGTGGAGGCAGTGGAGGGGGTGGGGGTGGTGGTGGGAGTGGTGGCGGGCGTGGAGGTGACGGTGGCAGCACTGGAGGCAGAGGAGGCAGCGGCGGTGGCGCTGGGAGCGGAGGCGGCGGAGGTGGCGGAGACGGCGGCGGCAGCGGTGGAGCTGGCCGCGGCTCTGCGCAGAGGAGTGGTTCCGGTGGTGGTCCGCGCCAGCAGCAGCAGCGCACTCGTGAGACCCCGTCCCCCCCGCAGCTTCGTGAGTGGTACGCTGGGCGTCAGGGAGGTGGGGGTACTGGTCCGTGCACCTACGTGCTCCGTACCGGCGACCGCGCTAGTGAGCAGTGAGGGGGCCCGCACTCCACCCAGCGCTGCTTCGGCCGCCTGACGGACGCGTGGCGTCACCAGTTCCCTGACGCCACTGAGATCCCTCGCTGGGGAGAGCTTGTGATAATGAACGAGGATGAATGCAGTATAAAAGAGTTGGGTACAAGTACTAACCCTAATTGGGTTGTACCCCATATAGGCTACCCCACTACAGCCTACACAAAAGCATAAGCTATAATGTTCTGACACACCCCCATAGGCAAAGTGGGGGAGAACAAGGGGTCACAAGACAAGTCAAGCAAAGCAAAGCAAAGCAAGCTCCGGGTGGATCACAAAGTCACCACACATTCCGAGCACAAGGTCAAGGCCACTAGGCCAGTTCACATGCAGGAGTACATATATATATAAAAGGCTAGACAAGCAAGAGCAGGTGTATATATATATATGTAACAGTACAAGCAAGGTCAAGAGGTGAGCAAGTGAGGCAAGGCAGGCACAAGACCCAGCTGAGTACAGAAGCGCTGATGATCACAAGGCGCAAGCGCCTTGGTGAAGATATCAGCAGTGTTGGCCTCAGAGGCCACGTACGCAAGACGCAGCTGACCACGCTGCTGCAGCTCACGAGCAAGGAAGTAGCGGAGAGCAATGTGCTTCGTTCTGTGCTCCAGTCTCTGCTCTCGACACAAGGCCAGCATGGCCTTGTTGTCTACGTACAGCACTGGAGGAGAACGAGGCGGCTCTCCGAGGTCAGTCAGCAGGTAGGTGAGCCAGCAAAGCTCCTGTGCAGCCATGGCCCCAGCGTAGATCTCAGCCTCACAACTGGAGCCGAGAACAGAAGACGAGCAGGTAGCTCGCCACGAAACAGAGCCGGAACCAAGGCTGAAGGTGTAACCCTGTGACGACCGCTGCGTAGCCTGGTCGTCAGCCCAAGAAGCGTCTGCGTGCCCAGTGAGGACCACTGGACTCTGCCCTCCAAGCACAAGCCCCATGCCTGACGTACTGCACAAGTAGCGCAACACCCTCTTCGCTGCAGCCATGTGCTCCGGTCTGTGTCTCCCAGGAGCAACATAGCGTGCGAGAATGCTAAGAGGGTATGCAAGGTCAGGTCATGAGCAGGTCATGAGGTACATGAGGCAGCCAACAAGCTCTGGGTATGGGCCACTCAACTCTACGGACTCATCCGAAGGCAGAGCTGAGAGCGAGTGGCGAGTAGACGGAGGAGTGGCCTGAGGCGAGGAGTGCGTGAAGCTGAAGCGCTGAAGGACCTGCTGCACCATGTGTGACTGAGTCAGGGTAATGGTGCGGCGTGCTCTGTCCCGGGTGATCTGCAAGCCAAGGTAGCTGCGCAGTTCACCCAGGTCTGTGCACGTGTGTCTCTTCTGCAGCTCGGACTTCACGTAGGCGAGTCCAGCAGTGTCAGCTGTGGCAAAGACCAAGTCGTCGACGTACATGAGGATGTAGAACGGCGGCAAAGAAGTGTCGGTGCGCAGAAACAGCGACGGGTCGGCAGTAGAGGGAGCAAACCCAAGAGCCGCAAGTGTAGTCCTCAGTGTGTCGTGCCACTCACGCGGTGCCTGGCGGAGACCGTAGACTGGCCGCCGGAGGCTCCACTGGGTACTAGGAGGAAAAGACCCAGTGAAGCCAGGTGGGCGACGCAGCCAGATCTCCTCGTGCAGGCTGCCCTACAGGAAAGCTGTGCTGAAGTCAAGAGAGTGAAGCTCGTAGTCACGGTGAGCAGCTATGTGCAGCATTACCCGAAGAGTGGTCATCTTCGGGGTGGGAGAGAAGGTCTGAAAGTAGTCAACTCCCTGCCGCTGACTGAAGCCACGAGCCACGTAACGCGCCTTGAAGATAGGCGGAGAACCCGGCGGCCTCTTCACCCTGAAAAACCACATGCCACTGACGATGTTCGCCCCAGGCGGGGGAACCTCGTCAACGTAGGTGCCTGTGGACTTCCAGGAAGCCATCTCTGCGTCCATAGCTGCCTGCCACTGAGAGGAGTAGGGACCCTCTATCGCCTCCGCGTAAGAGCGCGGAGTCGGGATGTCAAGTGCATCCGGATCTCCCTCAGGGGTAAGCAGTACGGACTCGAGATGAGGTGAAGCAGCAGCCAGACACTGGAACTCCTCCTGCCTGTCCTCAAGGACGTCCGTGCCAAGGGCACACTCACCCCCCACGGACGGAGGACAGACAGACTCAGACTCAGCAACGAGACTGGCGGCGTAGTCTAGGCAACAGCGAGCAGCAAAGTCGACGAGCTCAACAACTAGGGCAGACGCGGTAGTGGAGTCAAAGGAAGGGTCAGTGACAACAGTAGCAAGGAGACGCGTGACAGTAGGACTGGCAGCACGAAGAGAGTCCGACTCCGGGTCGGCAAGAGCAGGAAGAGAAGACTCAGGAGGAGAAGGTAAAGGGGCACGCAGAGGAGCAGTGGACGGACACAGAGACATCCGGTGCGTGCCAGGGACAGGAGGAGGACGGTGATGCGAACCGCGACCACTAGTGTGAGCAGCACGGACAGGCGACGCAGGGCGAGACGCAGGCTCACGACGCTCAGCAAGATCTCCAGTAGGACCAGTGTAGGGAGACGGAGCAGGCAGTGGGGAGGCCGGTTGTAACTGTAACTTTGACGGGACAGGCTGTGGACACTCGAAGGGAGGAGGAGGACCAGTAGAAGGCGGGACACCAAGAACCTGCTGAAGGAGCGGAACGAAGTACAGCCGAGGCCGCGCGGCAACTCCAGACACAGCACGGACAGCACCAGTACCCCCAGCGGCAGCACCACCACCAGCAGCACCTCCAGCTCCAGTACCTCCAGCAGCACCAGTAGCACCTCCAACAGGACCGCCTCCAGGACCGACAGCAGTAGCCTCCGTGCCAACACCCGCTACAGCTCCAACTCCAGAAGTTCCCGCAGGCCCAGCAGCTCCAGTACTCCCAGTACGAGCATCTCCGGGACCCGCGGCACTAGCACCCTCAGCAGCAGCAGAACCTCCAGTACTCGCAGCACCTCCAGCTCCAGCAACTCGCCTCCAGCGCTGGGCAAACCACTCACGCAGCTCTTGTGGAGAGAGTGGCTCCCGGCGAGACGAAGCACACGGAGAACCGCCAGGCACAGCACCGCCAGACGCCACACGAGCAGGCCCAGCTCCCTCAGGCTCAACACCTCCAGGCGTAGCACCCCCAGGCGTAGCACCCCCGGGCTCAGCACCCCCAGGCTCAGCACTCCCAGGCTCAGCACCCCCAGGCTCAGCACCCCTAGGCTCAGCACCCCTAGGCTCAGCACCCCCAGGCTCAGCACTCCCAGGCTCAATACCCCCAGGCTCAGCACCCCCAGGCTCAGCACCCCCAGGCGTAGCACCCACACGCTCAGCACCCCCAGAGTGAGCACCCCCAGGCTCAGCACCCTCAGCAGCACCAGAGTCACCAGCGACCTCGACAGGCTCAACAACGTCTACCTGGGACACACCTGAAGGGGCAGGACCCTGAGGGGGGAGGGCGTCTACCGGGGGGGGGACCTGGCACAAGGAAGAGCGATGGCGGGGGGAGGGACGGAGTGCGGTAGGGGAAGAGACACTAGTAGGGGACCGACTCGTCGAACGTGACGTCTTGGGAGGACAGAACACGGCGAGAGGTGGGGTGGTAAAATTGCCACCCTGGCGCGTCAGGGGGGAAACCCAGGAAGACGCAGGGAGCAGCACGAGGGGACAGCTTGTCCGCAGACAAGTCGCGGACAAACGCCCAAGATCCCCAGACACGGAACGCAGACGCATCGCTAGCCTTCCCCGTCCACAGCAAAGCTGGGGAGGTCTCCGGCATGGAGACCCTGGGCTGAAGGTTGATCTGATGCGCCGCATACCGGACCGCAAACGGCCACAGAAAATGGGGGGCAGCCGCATGCATCATGGACGTACGGGCGACGTCCATGACCATGCCAATGCGGCGCTCAGCAATCCCATTTTTCTGTGGAGAGTCTGGAAGCGTGTAGGTCTGGCGGATGCCTCGTGCACGACAATAGGCTTGCAGAAGGCCAGAGGAGAACTCTCCGCCTCTGTCAGAGTGCAGACGCAGAACAGGAAAGTCCGAGCCGAAGCTCCGCCTGAGCTGGAGACGAGCTGCGCGGATCCACTCGATCAACACCTTAGTGACATCACCCTTGGTGTGCAAGGGGAAGACTGTGGTGTAACACGAGTAGTCGTCAACCACCAGCAGGAAGTAGCGCTCGTGACCCTGTCCACGGACGCGGGCCGGGCCCCACACGTCCATGTGAAGTGTCTGCAGCGGGGCCTCTGTCGGAGGAAACTGAGAGGAGTGAGGGGCAGCCCGCTGCCGCCCCTCGACACAGGGGACGCAGGTAGGGCCAGGCCCCTGAGGAAGGGGAGGGAGGGACCGGGGAAGACCGGAGACAAGGATACGGGAGGCCATGCTTCGGAGACAAAGTAGGGAGGGGTGACCAAGGCGGTGGTGCTAGAGGAGAGTCTCGTGAGACAGGAGACGACACGAGCAGGGAGCAGACTCAGGACCAGACCTGGACGCTGCAGCAAACACCTGACCCGACGCAGCTACCGGACCAGACGCAGTGACTGGAGGAGACGCAGTGGTCAGCGTGTACAGGCTCGACCCCGGCCGACGTGTAAACGTGGCCACGTGTCGGCGTGTCCGAGCGTCCGTGCAGTGGGTCACCCGCTGACTCGCAGGAGTGAACTGGTCAACCCCCCCATCCTGTAGGTCAGCACCACTCACCAAGTTCGTAGAGAACGAGGGGAGGTAAAGACCTAGACAGGGTGCCAGAGGGGGCCGCTGGACACGAGAGGACAGTGGAGAAGTGAGCAAGGACAGGACCCCCAGAGGGGTCTGCTAGAGAGACTGCAACTGGCTGACCAAGCGGCGTGAGTGTGGTGCGGTCTCGAAAGAAGGAGCGGGAAACCCCCGAGTCAAGAGTGAAGGTGTGAGAGGCTGGAGCCGACTCGGTACCTGAGAGAGCAGACTCACCCGCACCTGAGGAAGCAGACTCACTAGCACCTAGAGCAGCAGCGGCACCTGTACCTGGAGCAGGAGACT